GGTTCTTCTCCTCCATTCCAAACTTCTCCTCCATCCCAAACTTCTTCCCCATCCATACTTTCTTCTTTACCTTTAACTTCTTCTCCATCCAAAACTTCTTCTTCTTCTCCTTCCTTCACTTCTTCCCCATCCCAAACTACTTCTCCATCCTTAACTTCTTCTTCTCCTTCCCTAACTTGTTCTCCATCCTTAACTTCTTCTCCTTCCCTAACTTGTTCTTCATTCTTAACTTTTTCTCCTTCCCTAACTTCTTCTCCATCCTCCTTAACTTCTTCTGCTTCCTTAACTTCATTCTACATCCCAAGTTTCTTCTCCATCCTTAACTATATGATCTCCTATCCTATCCTATCCCATCCCATCCCATCCGAAAGTTCTTCTCCTTCCTTAACTTCTTCTTCCTTAATTTCTTCTCCATACTTAGTAGATTCTTCTCCATTCCAAACTTCTTCTCCATCCCAAACTTCTTCCCCATCCATACTTTCTTCTTTATCCTTAACTTCTTCTCCATCCAAAACTTCTTCTTCCTTGACTTCGTCTCCTTCCTAACCTTCTTCTTCCTTAATTTCTTCTCCATACTTCGGTTCTTCTCCTCCATTCCAAACTTCTCCTCCATCCCAAACTTCTTCTCCATCCCAAACTTCTTCCCCATCCATACTTTCTTCTTTACCCTTAACTTCTTCTCCATCCAAAACTTCTTCTTCTTCTTCTTCCTTAACTTCTTCTCCTTCCTTCACTTCTTCCCCATCCCAAACTACTTCTCCATCCTTAACTTCTTATTCTCTTTCCCTAACTTGTTCTTCATCCTTAACTTCTTCTCCTTCCCTAACTTGTTCTTCATTCTTAACTTTTTCTCCTTCCCTAACTTCTTCTCCATCCTCCATAACTTCTTCTGCTTCCTTAACTTCATTCTACATCCCAAGTTTCTTCTCCATCCTTAACTATACGATCTCTTATCCTATCCTATCCCATCTCATCCCATCCGAAAGTGCTTCTCCTTCCTTAACTTCTTCTTTCTTAATTTCTTCTCCATACTTAGTAGATTCTTCTCCATTCCAAACTTCTTCTCCATCCCAAACTTCTTCCCCATCCATACTTTCTTCTTTATCCTTACCTTCTTCTCCATCCAAAACTTCTTCTTCCTTGACTTCGTCTCCTTCCCAACCTTCTTCTTCCTTAATTTCTTCTCCATACTTCGGTTCTTCTCCTCCATTCCAAACTTCTCCTCCATCCCAAACTTCTTCTCCATCCCAAACTTCTTCCCCATCCATACTTTCTTCTTTACCCTTAACTTCTTCTCCATCCAAAACTTCTTCTTCTACTTTTTCCTTAACTTCTTCTCCTTCCTTCACTTCTTCCCCATCCCAAACTACTTCTCCATCCTTAACTTCTTCTTTTCCTTCCCTAACTTGTTCTCCATCCTTAAATTCTTCTAATTCTCTAACTTGTTCTTCATTCTTAACTTTTTCTCCTTCCCTAACTTCTTCTCCATCCTCCTTAACTTCTTCTGCTTCCTTAACTTCATTCTACATCCCAAGTTTCTTCTCCATCCTTAACTATATGATCTCCTATCCTATCCTATCCCATCCCATCCCATCCGAAAGTTCTTCTCCTTCCTTAACTTATTCTTACTTAATTTCTTCTCCATACTTAGTAGATTCTTCTCCATTCCAAACTTCTTCTCCATCCCAAACTTCTTCCCCATCCATACTTTCTTCTTTATCCTTAACTTCTTCTCCATCCAAAACTTCTTCTTCCTTGACTTCGTCTCCTTCCTAAACTTCTTCTTCCTTAATTTCTTCTCCATACTTGGGTTCTTCTCCTCCATCCCAAACTTCTTCTTCATCCTTAACTTCTTCCCCATCCATACTTTCCTCTTTACCCTTAACTTCTTCTCCATCCAAAACTTCTTCTTCTACTTCTTCCTTAACTTCTTCTCCTTCCTTCACTTCTTCCCCATCCCAAACTACTTCTCCATCCTTAACTTCTTCTTTTCCTTCCCTAACTTGTTCTCCATCCTTAACTACTTCTAGTTCTCTAACTTGTTCTTCATTCTTAACTTTTTCTCCTTCCCTAACTTCTTCTCCATCCTCCTTAACTTCTTCTGCTTCCTTAACTTCATTCTACATCCCAAGTTTCTTCTCCATCCTTTACTATATGATCTCCTATCCTATCCTATCCCATCCCATCCCATTCGAAAGTTCTTCTCCTTCCTTAACTTCTTCTTCCTTAATTTCTTCTCCATACTTAGTAGATTCTTCTCCATTCTAAACTTCTTCTCCATCCCAAACTTCTTCCCCATCCATACTTTCTTCTTTATCCTTAACTTCTTCTCCATCCAAAACTTCTTCTTCCTTGACTTCGTCTCCTTCCTAACCTTCTTCTTCCTTAATTTCTTCTCCATACTTCGGTTCTTCTCCTCCATTCCAATCTTCTCCTCAATCCCAAACTTATTCTTCATCCCAAACTTCTTCCCTATCCATACTTTCTTCATTACCCTTAACTTCTTCTCCATCCAAAACTTCTTCTTCTACTTCTTCCTTAACTTCTTCTCCTTCCTTCACTTCTTCCCCATCCCAAACTACTTCTCCATCCTTAACTTCTTCTTTTCCTTCCCTAACTTGTTCTCCATCCTTAACTTCTTCTCCTTCCCTAACTTGTTCTTCATTCTTAACTTTTTCTCCTTCCCTAACTTCTTCTCCATCCTCCTTAACTTCTTCTGCTTCCTTAACTTCATTCTACATCCCAAGTTTCTTCTCCATCCTTAACTATATGATCTCCTATCCTATCCTATCCCATCCCATCCCATCCGAAAGTTCTTCTCCTTCCTTAACTTCTTCTTCCTTAATTTCTTCTCCATACTTAGTAGATTCTTCTCCATTCCAAACTTCTTCTCCATCCCAAACTTCTTCCCCATCCATACTTTCTTCTTTATCCTTAACTTCTTCTCCATCCAAAACATCTTCTTCCTTGACTTCGTCTCCTTCCTAAACTTCTTCTTCCTTAATTTCTTCTCCATACTTCGGTTCTTCTCCTCCATTCCAAACTTCTCCTCCATGCCAAACTTCTTCTCCATCCCAAACTTCTTCTTCATCCCAAACTTCTCCCCATCCATACTTTCTTCTTTACCCTTAACTTCTTCTCCATCCAAAACTTCTTCTTCTTCTCCTTCCTTCACTTCTTCCCCATCCCAAACTACTTCTCCATCCTTAACTACTATTTCTCCTTCCCTAACTTGTTCTCCATCCTTAACTTCTTCTCCTTCCCTAACTTGTTCTTCATTCTTAACTTTTTCTCCTTCCCTAACTTTTTCTCCATCCTCCTTAACTTCTTCTGCTTCCTTAATTTCATTCTACATCCCAATTTCTTCTCCATCCTTAACTATATGATCTCCTATCCTACCCTATCCCATCCCATCCCATCCGAAAGTTCTTCTCCTTCCTTAACTTCTTCTTCCTTAATTTCTTCTCCATAATTAGTAGATTCTTCTCCATTCCAAACTTCTTCTCCATCCCAAACTTCTTCCCCATCCATACTTTCTTCTTTATCCTTAACTTCTTCTCCATCCAAAACTTCTTCTTCCTTGACTTCGTCTCCTTCCTAAACTTCTTCTTCCTTAATTTCTTCTCCATACTTCGGTTCTTCTCCTCCATTCCAATCTTCTCCTCCATCCCAAACTTCTTCTCCATCCCAAACTTCTTCCCCATCCATACTTTCTTCTTTACCCTTAACTTCTTCTCCATCCAAAACTTCTTCTTCCTTGACTTCGTCTACTTCCTAAACTTCTTCTTCCTCAATTTCTTCTCCATACTTCGGTTCTTCTCCTCCACTCCAAACTTCTCCTCCATCCCAAACTTCTTCTCCATCCTTAACTTCTTCTCCATCCCAAACTTCTCCCCATCCATACTTTCTTCTTTACCCTTAACTTCTTCTCAATCCAAAACTGGTTCTTCTTCTTCTTCCTTAACTTCTTCTCCTTCCTTCACTTCTTCCCCATCCCAAACTACTTCTCCATCCTTAACTTCTTCTTATCCTTCCATAACTTGTTCTCCATCCTTAACTTCTTCTCCTTCCCTAACTTGTTCTTCATTCTTAACTTTTTCTCCTTCCCTAACTTCTTCTCCATCCTCCTTAACTTCTTCTGCTTCCTTAACTTCATTCTACATCCCAAGTTTCTTCTCCATCCTTAACTATATGATCTCCTATCCTATCCTATCCCATCCCATCCCATCCGAAAGTTCTTCTCCTTCCTTAACTTCTTCTTCCTTAATTTCTTCTCCATACTTAGTAGATTCTTCTCCATTCCAAACTTCTTCTCCATCTCAAACTTCTTCCCCATCCATACTTTCTTCTTTATCCTTAACTTCTTCTCCATCCAAAACATCTTCTTCCTTGACTTCGTCTCCTTCATAAACTTCTTCTTCCTTAATTTCTTCTCCATACTTCGGTCCTTCTCCTCCATTCCAAACTTCTCCTCCATCCCAAACTTCTACTCCATCCCAAACTTCTTCCCCATCCATACTTTCGTCTTTATCCTTAACTTCTTCTCCATCCAAAACTTCTTCTTCCTTGACTTCGTCTCCTTCCTAAACTTCTTCTTCCTTAATTTCTTCTCCATACTTCGGTTCTTCTCCTCCATTCCAAACTTCTCCTCCATCACAAACTTCTTCTCCATCCTTAACTTCTTCTCCATCCCAAACTTCTCCCCATCCATACTTTCTTCCTTACCCTTAACTTCTTCTCCATCCAAAACTTCTTCTTCTTCTTCTTCCTTCACTTCTTCTCCTTCCTTCACTTCTTCCCCATCCCAAACTACTTCTCCATCCTTAACTTCTTCTTCTCCTTCCATAACTTGTTCTCCATCCTTAACTTCTTCTCCTTCCCTAACTTGTTCTTCATTCTTAACTTTTTCTCCTTCCCTAACTTCTTCTCCATCCTCCTTAACTTCTTCTGCTTCCTTAACTTCATTCTACATCACAAGTTTCTTCTCCATCTTTAATTATATGATCTCCTATCCTATCCTATCTCATCCCATCCCATCCGAAAGTTCTTTTCCTTCCTTAACTTCTTCTTCCTTAATTTATTCTCCATACTTAGTAGATTCTTCTCCATTCCAAACTTCTTCTCCATCCCAAACTTCTTCCCCATCCATACTTTCTTCTTTATCCTTAACTTCTTCTCCATCCAAAACTTCTTCTTCCTTGACTTCGTCTCCTTCCTAAACTTCTACTTCCTTAATTTTTTCTTCATACTTCGGTTCTTCTCCCGCATTCCAAACTTCTCCTCCATCCCAAACTTCTTCTCCATCCTTAACTTCTTCTCCATCCCAAACTTCTTCCCCATCCATACTTTCTTCTTTACCCTTAACTTCTTCTCCATCCAAACTTCTTCTTCTTCTTCCTTAACTTCTTTTCCTTCCTTCACTTCTTCCCCATCCCAAACTACTTCTCCATACTTAACTTCTTCTTCTCCTTCCCTAACTTGTTCTCCATCCTTAACTTCTTCTCCTTCCCTAACTTGTTCTTCATTCTTAACTTTTTCTCCTTCCCTAACTTCTTCTCCATCCTCCTTCACTTCTTCTTCTTCCTTAACTTCATTCTACATCCCAAGTTTCTTCTCCATCATTAACTATACGATATCCTATCCTATCCTATCCCATCCCATCCCATCCAAAAGTTCTTCTCCTTCCTTAATTTCTTCTCCATACTTAGTAGATTCTTCTCCATTCCAAACTTCTTCTCCATCTCAAACTTCTTCCCAATCCATACTTTCTTCTTTATCCTTAACTTCTTCTCCATCCAAAACTTCTTCTTCCTTGACTCCGTCTCCTTCCTAAACTTCTTCTTCCTTAATTTCTTCTCCATACATCGGTTCCTCTCCTCCATTCCAAACTTCTCCTCCATCCCAAACTTCTTCTCCATCCTTAACTTCTTCTCCATCCCAAACTTCTTCCCCATCCATACTTTCTTCTTTACTCTTAACTTCTTCTCCATCCAAAACTTCTTCTTCTTCTTCTTCCTTAACTTCTTCTCCTTCCTTCACTTCTTCCCCATCCCAAACTACTTCTCCATCCTTAACTTCTTCTTCTACTTCCCTAACTTGTTCTCCATCCTTAACTTCTTCTCCTTCCCTAACTTGTTCTTCATTCTTAACTTTTTCTCCTTCCCTAACTTCTTCTCCATCCTCCTTTACTTCTTCTGCTTCCTTAACTTCATTCTACATCCCAAATTTCTTCTCCATCCTTAACTATATGATCTCCTATCCTATCCTATCCCATCCCATCCCATCCGAAAGTTCTTCTCCTTCCTTAACTTCTTCTTCCTTAATTTCTTCTCCATACTTAGTAGATTCTTCTCCATTCCAAACTTCTTCTCCATCCCAAACTTCTTCCCCATCCATACTTTCTTCTTTATCCTTAACTTCTTCTCCATCCAAAACTTCTTCTTCCTTGACTTCGTCTCCTTCCTAAACTTCTTCTTCCTTAATTTCTTCTCCATACTTTGGTTCTTCTCCTCCATTCCAAACTTCTCCTCCATCCCAAACTTCTTCTCCATCCTTAACTTCTTCTCCATCCCAAACTTCTTCCCCATCCATACTTTCTTCTTTACCCTTAACTTCTTCTCCATCCAAAACTTCTTCTTCTTCTCCTTCCTTCACTTCTTCCCCATCCCAAACTACTTCTCCATCCTTAACTTCTTCTTCTCCTTCCCTAACTTGTTCTCCATCCTTAACTTCTTCTCCTTCCCTAACTTGTTCTTCATTCTTAACTTTTTCTCCTTCCCTAACTTCTTCTCCATCCTCCTTAACTTCTTCTGCTTCCTTAACTTCATTCTACATCCCAAGTTTCTTCTCCATCCTTAACTATATGATCTCCTATCCTATCCTATCCCATCCCATCCCATCCGAATGTTCTTCTCCTTCCTTAACTTCTTCTTCCTTAATTTCTTCTCCATACTTAGTACATTCTTCTCCATTTCAAACTTCTTCTCCATCCCAAACTTCTTCCCCATCCATACTTTCTTCTTTATCCATAACTTCTTCTCCATCCAAAACTTCTTCTTCCTTAACTTCGTCTCCTTCCTAAACTTCTTCTTCCTTAATTTCTTCTCCATACTTCGGTTCTTCTCCTCCATTCCAAACTTCTCCTCCATCCCAAACTTCTTCTCCATCCTTAACTTCTTCTCCATCCCAAACTTCTTCCCCATCCATACTTTCTTCTTTACCCTTAACTTCTTCTCCATCCAAAACTTGTTCTTCTTCTTCTTCCTTAACTTCTTCTCCTTCCTTCACTTCTTCCCCATCCCAAACTACTTCTCCATCCTTAACTTCTTCTTCTCCTTCCCTAACTTGTTCTCCATCCTTAACTTCTTCTCCTTCCCTAACTTGTTCTTCATTCTTAACTTTTTCTCCTTCCCTAACTTCTTCTCCATCCTCCTTAACTTCTTCTGCTTCCTTAACTTCATTCTACATCCCAAGTTTCTTCTCCATCCTTAACTATATGATCTCCTATCCTATCCTATCCCATCCCATCCCATCCGAAAGTTCTTCTCCTTCCTTAACTTCTTCTTCCTTAATTTCTTCTCCATACTTAGTAGATTCTTCTCCATTCCAAACTTCTTCTCCATCCCAAACTTCTTCCCCATCCATACTTTCTTCTTTATCCTTAACTTCCTCTCCATCCAAAACTTCTTCTTCCTTGACTTCGTCTCCTTCCTAAACTTCTTCTTCCTTAATTTCTTCTCCATACGTTCGGTTCTTCTCCTCCATTCCAAACTTCTCCTCCATCCCAAACTTCTTCTCCATCCTTAACTTCTTCTCCATCCCAAACTTCCTTCCCTATCCATAACTTTCTTCTTTACCCATAACTTCTTCTCCATCCAAAACTTCTTAACTTCTTCTCCTTCCTTCACTTCTTCCCCATCCCAAACTACTTCTCCATCCTTAACTTCTTCTTCTCCTTCCCTAACTTGTTCTCCATCCTTAACTTCTTCTCCTTCCCTAACTTGTTCTTCATTCTTAACTTTTTCACCCTTCCCCTAACTCAGCTTCTCACTTCGTCCTCCTTAACTTCATTCTACATCCCAAGTTTCTTCTCCATCCTTAACTATATGATCTCCTATCCTATCCTATCCCATCCCATCCCATCTGAAAGTTCTTCTCCTTCCTTAACTTCTTCTTCCTTAATTTCTTCTCCATACTTAGTAGATTCTTCTCCATTCCAAACTTCTTCTCCATCCCAAACTTCTTCCCCATCCATACTTTCTTCTTTATCCTTAACTTCTTCTCCATCCAAAACTTCTTCTTCCTTGACTTCGTCTCCTTCCTAAACTTCTTCTTCCTTAATTTCTTCTCCATACTTCGGTTCTTCTCCTCCATTCCAAACTTCTCCTCCATCCCAAACTTCTTCTCCATCCTTAACTTCTTCTCCATCCCAAACTTCTTCCCCATCCATACTTTCTTCTTTACCCTTAACTTCTTCTCCATCCAAAACTTCTTCTTCTTCTTCTTCACTTCTTCCCCATCCCAAACTACTTCTCCATCCTTAACTTCTTCTTCTCCTTCCCTAACTTGTTCTCCATCCTTAACTTCTTCTCCTTCCCTAACTTGTTCTTCATTCTTAACTTTTTCTCCTTCCCTAACTTCTTCTCCATCCTCCTTAACTTCTTCTGCTTCCTTAACTTCATTCTACATCCCAAGTTTCTTCTCCATCCTTAACTATATGATCTCCTATCCTATCCTATCCTATCCATCCCATCCCATCATCTGAAAGTTCTTCTCCTTCCTTAACTTCTTCTTCCTTAATTTCTTCTCCATACTTAGTAGATTCTTCTCCATTCCAAACTTCTTCTCCATCCCAAACTTCTTCCCCATCCATACTTTCTTCTTTATCCTTAACTTCTTCTCCATCCAAAACTTCTTCTTCCTTGACTTCGTCTCCTTCCTAAACTTCTTCTTCCTTAATTTCTTCTCCATACTTCGGTTCTTCTCCTCCATTCCAAACTTCTCCTCCATCCCAAACTTCTTCTCCATCCTTAACTTCTTCTCCATCCCAAACTTCTTCCCCATCCATACTTTCTTCTTTACCCTTAACTTCTTCTCCATCCAAAACTTCTTCTTCTTCTTTCCTTCCTTCACTTCTTCCCCATCCCAAACTACTTCTCCATCCTTAACTTCTTCTTCTCCTTCCCTAACTTGTTCTCCATCCTTAACTTCTTCTCCTTCCCTAACTTGTTCTTCATTCTTAACTTTTTCTCCTTCCCTAACTTCTTCTCCATCCTCCTTAACTTCTTCTGCTTCCTTAACTTCATTCTACATCCCAAGTTTCTTCTCCATCCTTAACTATATGATCTCCTATCCTATCCTATCCCATCCCATCCCATCCGAAAGTTCTTCTCCTTCCTTAACTTCTTCTTCCTTAATTTCTTCTCCATACTTAGTAGATTCTTCTCCATTCCAAACTTCTTCTCCATCCCAAACTTCTTCCCCATCCATACTTTCTTCTTTATCCTTAACTTCTTCTCCATCCAAAACTTCTTCTTCCTTGACTTCGTCTCCTTCCTAAACTTCTTCTTCCTTATTTCTTCTCCATACTTCGGTTCTTCTCCTCCATTCCAAACTTCTCCTCCATCCCAAACTTCTTCTCCATCCTTAACTTCTTCTCCATCCCAAACTTCTTCCCCATCCATACTTTCTTCTTTACCCTTAACTTCTTCTCCATCCAAAACTTCTTCTTCTTCTTCCTTAACTTCTTCTCCTTCCTTCACTTCTTCCCCATCCCAAACTACTTCTCCATCCTTAACTTCTTCTTCTCCTTCCCTAACTTGTTCTCCATCCTTAACTTCTTCTCCTTCCCTAACTTGTTCTTCATTCTTAACTTTTTCTCCTTCCCTAACTTCTTCTCCATCCTCCTTAACTTCTTCTGCTTCCTTAACTTCATTCTACATCCCAAGTTTCTTCTCCATCCTTAACTATATGATCTCCTATCCTATCCTATCCCATCCCATCCATCCGAAAGTTCTTCTCCTTCCTTAACTTCTTCTTCCTTAATTTCTTCTCCATACTTAGTAGACTCTTCTTCATTCCAAACTTCTTCTCCATCCAAAACTTCTTCCCCATCCATACTTTCTTCTTTATCCTTAAATTCTTCTCTATCCAAAACTTCTTCTCCATCCTTGACTTCGTCTCCTTCCTAAACTTCTTCTTCCTTAATTTCTTCTCCATACGTTGGTTCTTCTCCTCCATTCCAAACTTCTCCTCCATCCCAAACTTCTTCTCCATCCCAAACTTCTTCCCCATCCATACTTCCTTCTTTACCCTTAACTTCTTCTCCATCCAAACTTCTTCTTCTTCTTCTTACTTAACTTCTTCTCATTCCTTCACTTTTTCCCCATCCCAAACTACTTCTCCATCCTTAACTTCTTCTTCTCCTTCCCTAACTTGTTCTCCATCCTTAACTTCTTCTCCTTCCCTAACTTGTTCTTCATTCTTAACTTTTTCTCCTTCCCTAACTTCTTCTCCATCCTCCTTAACTTCTTCTGCTTCCTTAACTTCATTCTACATCCCAAGTTTCTTCTCCATCCTTAACTATATGATCTCTTATCCTATCCTATCCCATCCCATCCCATCCGAAAGTTCTTCTCCTTCCTTAACTTCTTCTTCCTTAATTTCTTCTCCATACTTAGTAGATTCTTCTCCATTCCAAACTTCTTCTCCATCCCAAACTTCTTCCCCATCCATACTTTCTTCTTTATCCTTAACTTCTTCTCCATCCAAAACTTCTTCTTCCTTGACTTCGTCTCCTTCCTAAACTTCTTCTTCCTTAATTTCTTCTCCATACTTCGGTTCTTCTCCTCCATTCCAAACTTCTCCTCCATCCCAAACTTCTTCTCCATCCTTAACTTCTTCTCCATCCCAAACTTCTTCCCCATCCATACTTTCTTCTTTACCCTTAACTTCTTCTCCATCCAAAACTTCTTCTTCTTCTTCTTCCTTAACTTCTTCTCCTTCCTTAACTTCTTCCTCATCTTAAACTACTTCTCCATCCTTAACTTCTTCTTCTCCTTCCCTAACTTGTTCTCCATCCTTAACTTCTTCTCCTTCCCTAACTTGTTCTTCATTCTTAACTTTTTCTCCTTCCCTAACTTCTTCTCCATCCTCCTTAACTTCTTCTGCTTCCTTAACATCATTCTACATCCCAAGTTTCTTCTCCATCCTTAACTATATGATCTCCTATCCTATCCTATCCCATCCCATCCCATCCCATCCCATTTGAGAGTTCTTCTCCTTCCTTAACTTTCTTCTTCCTTAATTTCTTCTCCATACTTAGTAGATTCTTCTCCATTCCAAACTTCTTCTCCATCCCAAACTTCTTCCCCATCCATACTTTCTTCTTTACCCTTAACTTCTTCTCCATCCAAAACTTCTTCTTCCTTGGCTTCGTCTCCTTCCTAAACTTCTTCTTCCTTAATTTCTTCTCCATACTTCGGTTCTTCTCCTCCATTCCAAACTTCTCCTCCATCCCAAACTTCTTCTCCATCCTTCACTTCTTCTCCATCCCAAACTTCTTCCCCATCCATACTTTCTTCTTTACCCTTAACTTCTTCTCCATCCAAAACTTCTTCTTCTTCTCCTTCCTTCTTCTTCCCCATCCCAAACTACTTCTCCATCCTTAACTTCTTCTTCTCCTTCCCTAACTTGTTCTCCATCCTTAACTTCTTCTCCTTCCCTAACTTGTTCTTCATTCTTAACTTTTTCTCCTTCCCTAACTTCTTATCCATCCTCCTTAACTTCTTCTGCTTCCTTAACTTCATTCTACATCCTAAGTTTCTTCTCCATCCCATCCCATCCGAAAGTTCTTCTCCTTAACTTCTTCTTCCTTAATTTCTTCTCCATACTTAGTAGATTCTTCTCCATTCCAAACTTCTTCTCCATCCCAAAGTTCTTCCCCATCCATACTTGCTTCTTTATCCTTAACTTCTCTATCCAAAACTTTTTCTTCCTTGACTTCGTCTCCTTCCTAAACTTCTTCTTCCTTAATTTCTTCTCCATACTTCGGTTCTTCTCCTCCATTCCAAACTTCTCCTCCATCCCAAACTTCTTCTCCATCCCAAACTTCTCCTCCATCCCAAACTTCTTCCTCATCCATACTTACTTCTTTACCCTTAACTTCTTCTCCATCCAAAACTTCTTCTCCATCCAAAACTTCTTCTTCTTCTTCTTCCTTAACTTCTTCTCCTTCCTTCACTTCTTCCCCATCCCAAACTACTTCTCCATCCTTAACTTCTTCTTCTCCTTCCCTAACTTGTTCTCCATCCTTAACTTCTTCTCCTTCCCTAACTTGTTCTTCATTCTTAACTTTTTCTCCTTCCCTAACTTCTTCTCCATCCTCCTTAACTTCTTTTGCTTCCTTAACTTCATTCTACATCCCAAGTTTCTTCTCCATCCTTAACTATATAATCTCCTATCCTATCCCATCCCATCCGAAAGCTCTTCTCCTTCCTTAACTTCTTCTTCCTTAATTTCTTCTCCATACTTAGTAGATTCTTCTCCATTCCAAACTTCTTCTCCATCCCAAACTTCTTCCCCAAGCATACTTTCTTCTTTATCCTTAACTTCTTGTCCATCCAAAACATTTTCTTCCTTGACTCCGTCTCCTTCCTAAACTTCTTCTTCCTTAATTTCTTCTTCATACTTCGGTTCTTCTCCTCCATTCCAAACTTCTCTTCCATCCCAAACTTCTTCTCCATCCCAAACTTCTTCCCCATCCATACTTTCTTCTTTACCCTTAACTTCTTCTCCATCCAAAACTTCTTCTTCTTCTTCTTCTTCTTCCTTAACTTCTTCTCCTTCCTTCACTTCTTCCCCATCCCAAACTACTTCTCCATCCTTAACTTCTTCTTCTCCTTACCTAACATCTTCTCTATCCATGACTTCTTCTCCTTCCTTGACTTCTTCTCCATCCATAATAATCATCTCTCCCTCCTTAACTTCTTCCCCATCCATAGTTTCTTCTTTATTCTTGACTTCTTCTCCATCCAAAGCTTCTTCTTAATCTGGACTTCTTCTCCATCCAAAGCTTCTTCTTCTTAACTTCCTCTCTTTCCCTAACTTCTTCTCCTTCCTTAACTTCTTCTCCTTCTTTAACTTCCTCTCTTTCCCTAACTTCTTCTCCTTCCTTAACTTCTTCTCCATCCAAACCATCTTCTCCATCCAAACCATCTTCTCTTTCCATGACTTCTTCTCCTTCCTTGACTTCTTCTCCATCCATAATAAGCATCTCTCCCTCCTTAACTTCTTCCCCATCCATAGTTTCTTCTTTATTCTTGACTTCTTCTCCATCCAAAGCTTCTTCTTCTTCCCTAACTTCTTCTCCTTCTTTCACTTCTTCCCCATCCCAAACCATTCTTAACATCTTCTCCTTCCCTAACTTCTTCTTCTCCATCCTTAACTTCTTATTCTCCTTCCTTAACTTCTTCATCTACATCCCAAATTGCTTCTCCATCCTTAACTCATACTCCATCCAGAACTTCTTCTCCTTCCTTAACTTCTTCTTCCTCCTTGATTTCTTCTCCATACTTGAATTCTTTTCCATTCCAAACTTTTTCTTCTCCATCCCAAACTTCTTCTCCTTCTTTAACTTCCTCTCTTACCCTAACTTCTTCTCCTTCCTTAACTTCTTCTCCATCCAAACCATCTTCTGCTTCCATGACATCTTCTCCGTCCATGACCTCTTCTCCTTCCTTGACTTCTTCTCCATCCATAATAATCATCTGTCGCTCCTTAACTTCTTCCCCATCCATAGCTTCTTCTTTATCCTTGACTTCTTCTCTATCCAAATCTTCTTCTTCTTCCCTAACTTCTTCTCCTTCCTTCACTTATGCCCCATCCCAAACCATCCTTAACTTCTTCTCCTTCCCTAACTTCTTCTTCTCCATCCTTAACTTATTATTCTCCTTCCTTAACTTCTTCATCTACATCCCAAATTTCTTCTCCATCCTTAACTTATACTCCATCCATAACTTCTTCTCCTTCCTTAACTTCTTCTTCCTCCTTGATTTCTTCTCCATACCTGAATTCTTCTCCATTCCAAACTTCTTCTTCTCCATCCCAAACTTCTTCTCCATCCTTAACTTATTCTCCTTCTTTAACTTCCTCTCTTTCCCTAACTTCTTCTCCTTCCTTAACTTCTTCTCCATCCAAACCATCTTCTCCTTCCATAACATCTTCTCCGTCCATAACTTCTTCTCCTTCCTTGACTTCTTCTCCATCCATAATAATCATCTCTCCCTCCTTAACTTCTTCCCCATCCATAGTTTCTTCTTTATCCTTGACTTCTTCTCCATCCAAAGCTTCTTCTACTTCCCTAACTTCTTCTCCTTCCTTAACTTCTTCCCCATCCCAAACTATTTCCCCATCCTTAACTTCTTCTCCTTCCCTAACTTCTTCTTCTCCATCCTTAACTTCTTCTTCTCCTTCTTTAACTTCTTCATCTACATGCCAAATTTCTTCTCCATCCTTAACTTATACTCCATCCATAACTTCTTCTCCTTCCTTAACTTCTTCTTCCTCCTTGAATTCTTCTCCATTCCAAACTTCTTCTTCTCCATCCCAAACTTATTCTCCATCCTTAACTTCTTCTCCTTCTTTAACTTCCTCTCTTTCTCTAACTTCTTCTCCTTCCTTAACTTCTTCTCCATCCAAACCATCTTCTCCTTCCATAACATCTTCTCCGTCCATGACTTCTTCTCCATACTTGAATTCTTTTCCATTCCAAACTTCTTCTTCTCCATCCTTAACTTCTTCTCCTTTTTAAATTTCCTCTCTTTCCCTAACTTCTTCTCCTTCCTTAACTTCTTCTCCATCCAAACCATCTTCTCCTTCCATAACATCTTCTCCGTCCATGACTTCTTCTCCTTCCTTGACTTCTTCTCCATCCATAATAATCATCTCTCCCTCCTTAACTTCTTCCCCATCCATAGTTTCTTCTTTATCCTTGACTTCTTCTCCATCCAAAGCTTCTTCTTCTTCCCTAAATTCTTCTCCTTCCTTCACTTCTTCCCCATCCCAAACCATCCTTAACTTTTTCTCCTTCCCTAACTTCTTCTTCCCCATCTTTAACTTCTTCTTCTCCTTCCTTAACTTCTTCATCTACATCCCAAAATTCTTCTCCATCCTTAACTTATACTCCATCCATAACTTCTTCTCCTTCCTTAACTTATTCTTCATCCTTGATTTCTTCTCCATACTTGAATTCTTCTCCATTCCAAACTTCTTCTTCTCCATCCCAAACTTCTTCTCCATCCTTAACTTCTTCTCCTTCTTTAACTTCCTCTTTTTCCCTAACTTCTTCTCCTTCCTTAACTTCTTCTCCATCCAAACCATCTTCTCCTTCCATAACATCTTCTCCGTCCATGACTTCTTCTCCTTGCTTGACTTCTTCTCCATCCATAATAATCATCTCTCCTTCCTTAACTTCTTCCCCATCCATAGCTTCTTCTTTATCCTTGACTTCTTCTCTATCCAAATCTTCTTCTTCTTCCCTAACTTCTTCTCCTTCCTTCACATCTTCCCCATCCCAAACCATCCTTAACTACTTCTCCTTCCCTAACTTCTTCTTCTCCATCCTTAACTTATACTCCATCCATAACTTCTTCTCCTTCCTTAACTTCTTCCTCCTTGATTTTTTCTCCATTATTGAATCTTCTCCGTTTCAAACTTCTTCTCCATCCTTAACTTCTTCTCCTTCTTTAACTTCCTCTCTTTCCCTAACTTCTTCTCCTTCCTTAACTTCTTCTCCATCCAAACCATCTTCACCTTCCATAACATCTTCTCTGTCCATGACTTCTTCTCCTTCCTTGACTTCTTCTCCATCCATAAGAATCATCTCTCCCTTATTAACTTCTTCCCCATCCATAGTTTCTTCTTTATCCTTCACTTCTTCTCCATCCAAAGCTTCTTCTTCTTCCGTAACTTCTTCTCCTTCCTTCACTTCTTCCCATCCCAAACCATCCGTAACTTCTTCTCCTTCCCTCACTTCTTCTTCTCCATCCTTAACATCTTCTTCTCCTTCCTTAACTTCTTCATCTACATCCCAAATTTCTTCTCCATCCTTAACTTATACTCCATCCAGAACTTCTTCTCCTTCCTTAACTTCTTCTTCCTCCTTGATTTCTTCTCCATACTTGAATTCTTTTCCATTCCAAACTTCTTCTTCTCCATCCCAAACTTCTTCTCCATCCTTAACTTCTTCTCCTTCTTTAACTTCCTCTCTTTCCCTAACTTCTTCTCCTTCCTTAACTTCTTCTTCATCCAAACCATCTTCACCTTCCATAACATCTTCTCCGTCCATGACTTCTTCTCCTTCCTTGACTTCTTCTCCATCCATAATAATCATCTCTTCCTCTTTAACTTCTTTCCCATCCATAGCTTCTTCTTTATCCTTGACTTCTTTTCTATCCAAATCTTCTTCTTCTTCCCTAACTTCTTCTCCTTCCTTCACTTCTTCCCCATCCCAAACCATCCTTAACTTCTTCTCCTTCCCTAACTTCTTCTTCTCCACCCTTAACTTCTTCATCTACATCCCAAATTTCTTCTCCATCCTTAACTTATACTCCATCCATAACTTCTTCTCCTTCCTTAACTTATTCTTCATCCTTGATTTCTTCTCCATACTTGAATTCTTCTCCATTCCAAACTTCTTCTTCTCCATCCCAAACTTCTTCTCCATCCTTAACTTCTTCTCCTTCTTTAACTTCCTCTTTTTCCCTAACTTCTTCTCCTTCCTTAACTTCTTCTCCATCCAAACCATCTTCTCCTTCCATAACATCTTCTCCGTCCATGACTTCTTCTCCTTGCTTGACTTCTTCTCCATCCATAATGATCATCTCTCCTTCCTTAACTTCTCCCCCATCCATAGCTTCTTCTTTATCCTTGACTTCTTCTCTATCCAAATCTTCTTCTTCTTCCCTAACTTCTTCTCCTTCCTTCACATCTTCCCCATCCCAAACCATCCTTAACTTCTTCTCCTTCCCTAACTTCTTCTTCTCCATCCTTAACTTCTTCTTCTCCTTCCTTAACTTCTTCATCTACATCCCAAATTTCTTCTCCATCCTTAACTTATACTCCATCCATAACTTCTTCTCCTTCCTTAACTTATTCTTCCTCCTTGATTTTTTCTCCATACTTGAATCTTCTCCGTTTCAAACTTCTTCTCCATCCTTAACTTCTTCTCCTTCTTTAACTTCCCCTCTTTCCCTAACTTCTTCTCCTTCCTTAACTTCTTCTCCATCCAAACCATCTTCACCTTCCATAACATCTTCTCTGTCCATGACTTCTTCTCCTTCCTTGACTTCTTCTCCATCCATAAGAATCATCTCTCCCTTATTAACTTCTTCCCCATCCATAGTTTCTTCTTTATCCTTCACTTCTTCTCCATCCAAAGCTTCTTCTTCTTCCGTAACTTCTTCTCCATCCTTCACTTCTTCCCATCCCAAACCAGCCGTAACTTCTTCTCCTTCCCTCAATTCTTCTTCTCCATCCTTAACATCTTCTTCTCCTTCCTTAACTTCTTCATCTACATCCCAAATTTCCTCTCCATCCTTAACTTATACTCCATCCAGAACTTCTTCTCCTTCCTTAACTTCTTCTTCCTCCTTGATTTCTTCTCCATACTTGAATTTTTTTCCATTCCAAACTTCTTCTTCTCTATCCCAAACTTCTTCTCCATCCTTAACTTCTTCTCCTTCTTTAACTTCCTCTCTTTCCCTAACTTCTTCTCCTTCCTTAACTTCTTCTTCATCCAAACCATCTTCACCTTCCATAACATCTTCTCCGTCCATGACTTCTTCTCCTTCCTTGACTTCTTCTCCATCCATAATAATCATCTCTTCCTCCTTAACTTCTTTCCCATCCATAGCTTCTTCTTTATCCTTGACTTCTTTTCTATCCATATCTTTTTCTTCTTCCCTAACTTCTTCTCCTTCCTTCACTTCTTCCCCATCCCCAACCATCCTTAACTTCTTCTCCTTCCCTAAATTCTTCTTCTCCACCCTTAACTTCTTCATCTACATCCCAAATTTCTTCTTCATCCTTAACTTATACTCCATCCATAACTTCTTCTCCTTCCTTAACTTCTTCTTCTTCCTTGATTTCTTCTCCATACTTGAATTCTTCTCCATTCCAAACTTCTTCTTCTCCATCACAAACTTCTTCTCCATCCTTAACTTCTTCTCCTTCTTTAACTTCCTCTCTTTCCCTAACTTCTTCTCCTTCCTTAACTTCTTCTCCATCCAAACCATCTTCTCCTTCCATAACATCTTCTCCGTCCATGACTTCTTCTCCGTCATGACTTCTTCTCCTTCCTTGACTTCTTCTCCATCCATAATAATCATCTCTCCCTCCTTAACTTCGTCTTCCCCATCCATAGTTTCTTCTTTATCCTTGACTTCTTCTCCATCCAAAGCTTCTTCTTCTTCCCTAACTTCTTCTCCTTCCTTCACTTCTTCCCCATCCCAAACTATTTCCCCATCCTTAACTTCTTCTCCGTCCCTAACTTCTTCTTCTCCATCCTTAACTTCTTCTTCTCCTTCTTTAACTTCTTCATCTACATGCCAAATTTCTTCTCCATCCTTAACTTATACTCCATCCATAACTTCTTCTCCTTCCTTAACTTCTTCTTCCTCCTTGAATTCTTCTCCATTCCAAACTTCTTCTTCTCCATCCCAAACTTCTTCTTCATCCTTAACTTCTTCTCCTTCTTTAACTTCCTCTCTTTCCTTAACTTCTTCTCCTTCCTCCATCCAAACCATCTTCTCCTTCCATAACATCTTCTCCGTCCATGACTTCTTCTCCAGTCATGACTTCTTCTCCTTCATTGACTTCTTCTCCATCCATAATAATCATCTCTCCCTCCTTAACTTCTTCCCCATCCATAGTTTCTTCTTTATCCTTGACTTCTTCTCCATCCAAAGCTTCTTCTTCTTCCCTAACTTCTTCTCCTTCCTTCACTTCTTCCCCATCCCAAACCATCCTTAACTTCTTCTCCTTCCCTAACTTCTTCTTCTTCCCTAACTTCTTCTTCTCCATCTTTAACTTCTTCTTCTCCTTCCTTAACTTCTTCATCTACATCCCAAATTTCCTCTCCATCCTTGACTTATACTCCATCCATAACTTCTTCTCCTTCCTTAACTTCTTCTTCCGCCTTGATTTCTTCTCCATTGCAAACTTCTTCTTCTCCATCCCAAACTTCTTCTCCATCCTTAACTTCTTCTACTTCTTTAACTTCCTCTCTTTCCCTTACTTATTCTCCTTCCTTAAATTCTTCTCCATCCAAACCATCTTCTCCTTCCATAACATCTTATTCGTCCATCACTTCTTCTCCTTCCTTCACTTCTTCTCCATCCATAATAATCATCTCTCCCTCCTTAACTTCTTCCACATCCATAGTTTCTTCTTTATCCTTGACTTCTTCTTCTTCCCTAACTTCTTCTCCTTCCTTCACTTCTTCCCCATCCCAAACCATCCTTAACTTCTTCTCCTTCCCTCACTTCTTCTTCTCCATCCTTAACTTCTTCTTCTCCTTCCTTAACTTCTTCATCTACATCCCAAATTTCTTCTCCATCCTTCACTTATACTCCATCCATAACTTCTTCTCCTTCCTTAACTTCTTCTTCCTCCTTGATTTCTTCTCCATACTTGAATTCTTTTCCATTCCAAACTTCTTCTTCTCCATCCTTAACTTATTCTTCTCCTTCCTTAACTTCTTCATCTACATCCCAAATTTCTTCTCCATCCTTAACTTATACTCCATCCATAACTTCTTCTCCTTCCTTAACTTCTTCTTCCTCCTTGATTTCTTCTCCATACTTGAATTTTTCTCCATTCCAAACTTCTTCTTCTCCATCCCAAACTTCTTCTCCATCCTTAACTTCTTCTCCTTCTTTAACTTCCTCTCTTTCCCTAACTTCTTCTCCTTCCTTAACTTCTTCTCCATCCAAACCATCTTCTCCTTCCATAACATCTTCTCCAGTCCATGACTTCTTCTCCTTGCTTGACTTCTTCTCCATCCATAATGATCATCTCTCCTTCCTTAACTTCTTCCCCATCCATAGCTTCTTCTTTATCCTTGACTTCTTCTCTATCCAAATCTTCTTCTTCTTCCCTAACTTCTTCTCCTTCCTTCACTTCTTCCCCATCCCCAACCATCCTTAACTTCTTCTCCTTCCCTAAATTCTTCTTCTCCACCCTTAACTTCTTCATCTACATCCCAAATTTCTTCTTCATCCTTAACTTATACTCCATCCATAACTTCTTCTCCTTCCTTAACTTCTTCTTCTTCCTTGATTTCTTCTCCATACTTGAATTCTTCTCCATTCCACACTTCTTCTTCTCCATCACAAACTTCTTCTCCATCCTTAACTTCTTCTCCTTCTTTAACTTCCTCTCTTTCCCTAACTTCTTCTCCTTCCTTAACTTCTTCTCCATCCAAACCATCTTCTCCTTCCATAACATCTTCTCCGTCCATGACTTCTTCTCCGTCATGACTTCTTCTCCTTCCTTGACTTCTTCTCCATCCATAATAATCATCTCTCCCTCCTTAACTTCGTCTTCCCCATCCATAGTTTCTTCTTTATCCTTGACTTCTTCTCCATCCAAAGCTTCTTCTTCTTCCCTAACTTCTTCTCCTTCCTTCACTTCTTCCCCATCCCAAACTATTTCCCCATCCTTAACTTCTTCTCCGTCCCTAACTTCTTCTTCTCCATCCTTAACTTCTTCTTCTCCTTCTTTAACTTCTTCATCTACATGCCAAATTTCTTCTCCATCCTTAACTTATACTCCATCCATAACTTCTTCTCCTTCCTTAACTTCTTCTTCCTCCTTGAATTCTTCTCCATTCCAAACTTCTTCTTCTCCATCCCAAACTTCTTCTTCATCCTTAACTTCTTCTCCTTCTTTAACTTCCTCTCTTTCCTTAACTTCTTCTCCTTCCTCCATCCAAACCATCTTCTCCTTCCATAACATCTTCTCCGTCCATGACTTCTTCTCCGTCATGACTTCTTCTCCTTCATTGACTTCTTCTCCATCCATAATAATCATCTCTCCCTCCTTAACTTCTTCCCCATCCATAGTTTCTTCTTTATCCTTGACTTCTTCTCCATCCAAAGCTTCTTCTTCTTCCCTAACTTCTTCTCCTTCCTTCACTTCTTCCCCATCCCAAACCATCCTTAACTTCTTCTCCTTCCCTAACTTCTTCTTCTTCCCTAACTTCTTCTTCTCCATCTTTAACTTCTTCTTCTCCTTCCTTAACTTCTTCATCTACATCCCAAATTTCCTCTCCATCCTTGACTTATACTCCATCCATAACTTCTTCTCCTTCCTTAACTTCTTCTTCCGCCTTGATTTCTTCTCCATTGCAAACTTCTTCTTCTCCATCCCAAACTTCTTCTCCATCCTTAACTTCTTCTACTTCTTTAACTTCCTCTCTTTCCCTTACTTATTCTCCTTCCTTAAATTCTTCTCCATCCAAACCATCTTCTCCTTCCATAACATCTTATTCGTCCATCACTTCTTCTCCTTCCTTCACTTCTTCTCCATCCATAATAATCATCTCTCCCTCCTTAACTTCTTCCACATCCATAGTTTCTTCTTTATCCTTGACTTCTTCTTCTTCCCTAACTTCTTCTCCTTCCTTCACTTCTTCCCCATCCCAAACCATCCTTAACTTCTTCTCCTTCCCTCACTTCTTCTTCTCCATCCTTAACTTCTTCTTCTCCTTCCTTAACTTCTTCATCTACATCCCAAATTTCTTCTCCATCCTTCACTTATACTCCATCCATAACTTCTTCTCCTTCCTTAACTTCTTCTTCCTCCTTGATTTCTTCTCCATACTTGAATTCTTTTCCATTCCAAACTTCTTCTTCTCCATCCTTAACTTATTCTTCTCCTTCCTTAACTTCTTCATCTACATCCCAAATTTCTTCTCCATCCTTAACTTATACTCCATCCATAACTTCTTCTCCTTCCTTAACTTCTTCTTCCTCCTTGATTTCTTCTCCATACTTGAATTTTTCTCCATTCCAAACTTCTTCTTCTCCATCCCAAACTTCTTCTCCATCCTTAACTTCTTCTCCTTCTTTAACTTCCTCTCTTTCCCTAACTTCTTCTCCTTCCTTAACTTCTTCTCCATCCAAACCATCTTCTCCTTCCATAACATCTTCTCCAGTCCATGACTTCTTCTCCTTGCTTGACTTCTTCTCCATCCATAATGATCATCTCTCCTTCCTTAACTTCTTCCCCATCCATAGCTTCTTCTTTATCCTTGACTTCTTCTCTATCCAAATCTTCTTCTTCTTCCCTAACTTCTTCTCCTTCCTTCACTTCTTCCCCATCCCCAACCATCCTTAACTTCTTCTCCTTCCCTAAATTCTTCTTCTCCACCCTTAACTTCTTCATCTACATCCCAAATTTCTTCTTCATCCTTAACTTATACTCCATCCATAACTTCTTCTCCTTCCTTAACTTCTTCTTCTTCCTTGATTTCTTCTCCATACTTGAATTCTTCTCCATTCCAAACTTCTTCTTCTCCATCACAAACTTCTTCTCCATCCTTAACTTCTTCTCCTTCTTTAACTTCCTCTCTTTCCCTAACTTCTTCTCCTTCCTTAACTTCTTCTCCATCCAAACATCTTCTCCTTCCATAACATCTTCTCCGTCCATGACTTCTTCTCCGTCATGACTTCTTCTCCTTCCTTGACTTCTTCTCCATCCATAATAATCATCTCTCCCTCCTTAACTTCGTCTTCCCCATCCATAGTTTCTTCTTTATCCTTGACTTCTTCTCCATCCAAAGCTTCTTCTTCTTCCCTAACTTCTTCTCCTTCCTTCACTTCTTCCCCATCCCAAACTGTCGCCGCGGTCAAAACGAGGGCGGTCGGAGCGACGCGATGATTTTGACTCTCTTGATTTTCGCGTTTTTATTGGTGTGGTTACAATGCCTTTAGGTTGTCCGATAACCGGGTTGAACCTAAGGGTGAGGTTTTCGAAAAGGCGTTCTTGGGTTGTCCGATAACCGGGCTAACCCAAGAACTAGTTTTGAAGGGTTTTGTGGAGTCGCCACCGATGTTTTTACCGGAAACATCGGAAAAGGAGTTAAAAGGCGTTGGTTTTCGAAAAACCAACTTTGGTCATTAGAACCAGAGTTGGGTAAGGGAGTTAGTTACGTGTAAGGGAAGTGTTAGTTCCCTTACGACACCCCTTTCGGGTTCCCTATGACAGGCCAGCTACTTAAATAATTAAACCGGTGAAAATACGCTTTTACCCTTTTATTTGCGGAATTTAAATTATGACTACATGGCCCTAATGTCTATTGCGTAATTTAAAATAAAGCGGTAAAAGATAGAGAGAGAAAGTGGAAACCTCCGAGGCTAGCTTTCTATTAATTTCTTTGAAAATAGGGTGCTTTGCAGCAGCCCTTCACTCTTACAGCGCCGAAAATATCTCAAAAACGCTCTAAAAAATCTCTAAAAACACTCAGAAACTCCGGAAATGCTTCGGAGGGGTTCTAGAGAGAGAATGGAAGAGGTGTGTGAAATGAGGGGAATGGCGCGGCTATTTATAGGGATTCGCGCCTATTAGGTCGAGATGGTTGTCTCGTCTGATAGGGTCGAGACGGACGTCTCGCCAAACGAGACGACCGTCTCGCCATTCGCGCTTGGCGAGACGGCCGTCTCGCCATTCGCGCTTGGCGAGACGGCCGTCTCGCCATTTGCGCGAGGCGAGATGGCGGTCCCGAATCCGAGACGGCGGTCTCGACCTTAAAAGGCGAAAATCCTTATTTACATGCCGAAAATCCCTCCTATCCTAGTATGGGGCCTAATAGTCTCTCCTAGTGGCTTCTTAGGCTTCATCCATCTTCGAAAATGAGGTCTTCTGACTTTATTATGAGGCCGGGCAAGATTTGGGGTCTACAATAACACTAAATAGATATCATATTCATGGAATATGATTCACTTTCAAAATGCCTTGGTGGTGAAATGGTGTACACGTGAGACTCACAATCTTGTGTTAGAGAGTGTGGTGGTTTGAGTCCTTTTCAAGACATAATATTGATATCTATTATTGAATTAGAATAAGTTTGACAACAAATCAAAAAATCTTGATGATCTTTTCTATCTAATGAATGTGTAATCTATTTTGAATTGTTTGCCTTACACCCTACCCTCCCCAAGGAGTATATGCTTCAACAAGAATCACACAAGGGTAGTGTCACCGCCGTAAAAAACGAGGGCGGTGACTACGTGGCTACTTAGCTTACAAAGAACCTGAAACCAGGCTAGCTAAAAGGCAGATTGTCCGAGATAAGGGTGTTTATTTGCGAAAATATTTTTTGTGATTTTTCTTTGTTGTTTGTTTATGCTATGCAACAGACAAATGCAACAAACATATGCGCACACAATTCGATCATCCACGAACAGGCGAGAAGTCGTTTTAATCACGAGGTAGGGTTTTCCTGCAGAAAAGTGCATTGGCGAGGGTAGGTTCTAACTGTTCTCACCAGGCTAAGGCCCCCAAGGTGCCCCCATTATAGGGTCCCCACTCTCCAGCCTTCCGACCATGCTTAGCACTAAGGTCATAGTCAGTCTTGTTGCCAAAAGAGGAAGGTTATCACCTTGAGTGGTGGTTTCCGATCACACCGGTGGGCACAAGGCCATCACTACAGCGAACCGTACCTGCCACCCACTCCCTATGGATTTCTCACTTGCCCCCGGGTATAGAGGGAACTGTAGTGTGCAAGGGTTTGTGTACAGTTTGTATTTCAAGCAATTGCGTAAGTATAAACAAGCAACAGTTATTAAAGTCAAACAGTAAAACATGTTATAATACAAGGTAAGGGTAAAAGCGTTATTTTCTTGGTTTATTTATTTTTAAGCCGACCCATCACTAAATGGGATCAACTCTCTAGGCTTCCCCAGTGGAGTCACCATCTGTCGCCGCCGTAAAAAACGAGGGCGATCGGAGCGACGCGATGGTTTCGACTCTTTTGATTTTCGCGTTTTTTTATTGGTGGTTACAACGCCTTTAGGTTGTCCGATAACCGGGCTGAACCTAGGGGCGAGATTTTCGAAAGGGCGTCCTTGGGTTGTCCGATAACCGGGCTAACCCAAGAACTAGTTTTGAAGGGTCCTGTGGAGTCACCACCGATGTTTTTACCAGAAACATCGGAAAAGGGGTTAAAAAGGCGTTGGTTTTCGAAAAACCAACTTTGGTCGTTAGAACCAGAGTTGGGTAAGGGAGTTAGTTACGTGTAAAGAAAGTGTTAGTTCCTTTACGACGCCCCTTTCGGGTTCCCTATGACAGGCCAGCTATCTAAAAATATTTAAACCGATGAAAAATACGCTTTTACCCTTTTATTCTACGGAATTTAAAATTACGACTACATGGCCCTAATATTTATTGCACAATTTATATGAAGCGGTAAAGAGGTAAAGAGAGATAGAAAACATTTGAAGTGAGTTTTCTATTAATTCTTTAAAAAAGAGGGTGTTTTGTGGCAGCCCTTCACTCTACACAGCGTTGGGAACCTCTCGAAACGCTCAAAAACACTCTTAGAAACGCTCAGAAACTCCGAAAATGCTTCGGAGGGGTTCTAGAGAGAGAATTTTAAGTGATTTCTAGAGAGAAGGAGGAGAAATTGTGTGGAAATGAGGGAATGGAGCCCCCTATTTATAGGATTTCGCGTCTGTCAGGTCGAGACCGCCGTTCCCGTCTAACAAAGTCGAGACCGCCGTCTCGCCAAACGAGATCGCCATCTCGTCTTGCAGAAATGGCGAGACCGCCGTCTCGCCCTTCGCAGGTGGCGAGACCACCATCTCGCCATTCGCAGGTGGCGAGACCGCCGTCTCGCCAAACGAGACGGCGGTCTCGCCACTTGCGTGAGGCGAGATGGCGGTCTCGATTTCGAGACGGCGGTCTCGTCCCAAAAAGGCGAGAATCCTTATTTTCGTGCCAAAAATCCCTCATATCCTAGTATGGGGCCTAATAGTCTCTCCTAATGGCTTCTTAGGCTTCGTCCATCTTAGAATAGAAGGTCTTCAAGTCTTTATTTGGAGGTCGGGCAAGATTTGGGGTCTACAGCTGCCCCCCCTTTACCTGACTAGTCGGCTGTTGGCCTGTTGTGCCAGACAGATGGACAGGAAGGTAAAGGAGTTGACCCTCTTGCCCGGTTACCCTTCGGATGCCCCGTCTTGCGGCGGTTGATCTTCTGGGAAAAATTGTGTTGTGCACCTCCAGGATACTACTTCTGACGTAGTCGATCCCTTCGGTTGACACGTGGTAGAACCTCAGGATACTCCTTCTGACGGTAGCTGATCCTTCGGTTGATGGGTATAAACCCCCCATCAGGCTGGTAGTTGCAGTCCGTTGTGTGGGACTGGATGGGTATGAACCCCCCATCAGGCTGGTAGTTGCAGTCCGTTGTGTGGGACTGGATGGGTATGAAACCCCCATCAGGGTGGTGATTGTAGTCCGTTGTGTGGGACTGGATGGGTATGAACCCCCCATCAGGCTGGTACAGTCCACTGCGTAGGACTGGTGGTAGTGGCGTCTTACTGCTCAGGCGGCTCATGCGCCGGCTCCTTGGGGAGTGATTTCTGTGTTGGTAGATGTGCTTGGACCTTTCTGGGATGGTCATCCGGGTTGTGCCGGGGATTTGGTTGGTGGTTCACCCAGCTTTGTTGGTTGTCGGGGATTCTTTATTTTTGTTCTTTGGTGGTGATCATCCGACTCTTGTTGGCTGGTCGGGTTATCTTTGTTTGTCTGTTCGACTCTTGCTTGGCCGTCGAAGAAACTTTTGGTTGATGCATACTTTTGATAAAGTCTTGCCAGGATACTTTTGAGTGTTTTTTATTTTTGAATGCAGACAAAAGAATTGACCTTTTTATATGAATGTGTTTTTTTTGTCTTTTATTTATCTGAAGTATATTTATTTGCTTTGATTCTGACATAAGTCCTTTTTGTGCAACTATTTGTGCGTGAATGCTTTTGATGCAAGCTATTTTAGTTGGGGGCATCTGGAAAGTGACTGGTACTTTCCTTTCTATTTTTCCGCGATTGTTCTTTCGGAATTTTACTTTAGCCCTATCTTTTGCCTAGACCGCCCTTTGCGGGTTTTCAATCTAGCGGGCTTGCCTTAATTTTTGCCTAGGATGTCTCAGTGGGATCTTTCCTTTTTTACGAAGGCCTTAACTTTTGCCTAGACCGCCCTTTGCGGGTTTTCGATCTAGCAGGCCGCCCTATTTTTGGCTTGAGAATATCCTAGCAGGCGTTTGTTTATTTTGATTTTTCTTTCCCTTTTCTTGTGTTTTCTCGTATTGCTCGTTTTATGCATGCTCATGTTTCGTTAATACAGAGGCATTCTTGCAAGTAGGTAAAGAGAAGAAAAGACAATTTTTATTGATATAAACAAATGGTCTATTTTTACATGAGGGTTTACAAAGGAATTTGTAAGCAAGGTTGGCCAGGGTTGGCTAAGCTGTATAGGGTACATCAATCGTGTCCGTGATTTCCGTTTCTCTGTCTCTCCCGGTTACTTCAATTGAGATGCTCGAACCCGGAGTGAAGACTATGCGAATCTTGTTTGCTTTTGTGGAGGTATTACCTTAGTCGCCTTTGCGGTTTTCGGCTAAGGTAATCATTGCTCTCTCTCTCTTTTTTTGTTTTTTTTTTTTTGGCACCTCTAATTTCTGCCTAGGACGTATCCTAGCGAGGAATGTAGACCCTATCTTTTGCCTAGGACGCTCTTTGCGAGTTTTCATCCTGACGGGTCATGAGCAATGTCTTTTAAGCGTAGTATTTCTTTACTGCATCTGAGTTGACAGGATGTCGAAGCTCTTCCCCGTCCATGTTGGTGAGGATAAGGGCCCCTCCTGAGAAGGCTCGCTTGACTACAAAGGGTCCTTCGTAGTTTGCTGTCCATTTCCCGACTTTGTCTTTCTGGGCTGGAAGCAGCTTCTTTACTACTAGATCTCCTTCTTGGAAGGTGCGGGGATTGATCTTCTTGTCATAGGCTTTCTTGATCTTCTTTTGATAAGCTTGCCCCCGACATATGGCGTCCAGCCGTTTTTCTTCGATTAGGTTCAACTGATCATACCGGTTTTGGACCCATTCGGCTTCTGTTAATTTTGCTTCCATAACAACTCGCAGGGAGGGTATTTCGACCTCTACTGGTAGTACGGCCTCCATTCCGTATACGAGGGAAAATGGAGTAGCCCCTGTGGAGGTTCGTACTGAAGTTCGGTAGCCGTGTAAGGCGAAGGGGAGCATTTCATGCCAATCTTTGTAGGTCACTACCATTTTCAAGATGATTTTCTTGATATTCTTATTGGCTGCCTCTACTGCACCATTCATCTTTGGTCGGTACGGGGAGGAATTGTGGTGTTGAATTTTGAAGTCTTAACAGAGTTCCTCCATCATTTTGTTATTGAGATTGGTCCCATTGTCAGTAATGAGCTTATGGGGAACGCCGTACCGACATATAATGTTTTTCTTGATAAAGGTGGTCACCACTTTTCGAGTCACATGTGCATACGATGCTGCTTCGACCCATTTGGTAAAATAATCAATAGCCACCAAAATAAAGTGATGACCATTAGATGATTTGGGTTCAATGGGTCCGATGACATCCATGCCCCACATAGAAAATGGCCATGGTGTAGCCAGGTTACTGAGAGGCGCAGGCGGCACATGAATATTATCGGCGTAGATTTGGCACTTATGACACTTCTTGGCATATTGGTGACAGTCAGTTTCCATTGTGGACCAAAAATACCCTGCCCTTAGGATCTTCTTTGCCATGACGTGCCCAGGTGCGTGAGTTCCAAAAGTCCCTTTGTGGATTTCTCTTATCAAGGTTTTGGCCTCTTCTTGGTCTACACATCTTAAGAGGGTGGAATCGAGACTCTTTTTGTAGAGGGTTCCTTCAATCAATGTGAACCCTACGGCCCTTTTGCGGATGGTTCGCTTATCATTGTCACTGATTCCTTCAGGATATTCTCCCCTCATGAGGTACTGTTTGATGTCATGGTAACAGGGATTTTGGTCGT